CGCCTCCCCCGAGCCCTGCCCACCCCCTCAGCGGGTCCACCACGATGGCGTGGGGCTCGTCAATCATGCCCGAGATGAGCGTCTTGCGGTTCTCGCCCTTCATCTGCGCCACCTCAATCACGTCTCGGCCGGAGTCCGTCCAGTACACGTTCCCGGCCACCCAGTCGATGGCGATGCCCCTCGGCATCTTGAGCCCTGAAATCTGAACGGGGGGGGGGGAGCACAGGGTCAGGGCTGCCACCTTTTGTCTTCCTGCCCATTATCCATGCCCAACTCTGCCAGCTGTTCGCTGCTAAAAACTCATCCCAGACAGAGCTAATCCCGGCTTTGAGGAGATTCCACAGATAATGATCTTACGGGCCACCCTTCACGCTCCCACGTATTTCGCTGGATTAGCTATCATTACGCTGCTTTATTGAGGAACAAAGTGAGGCCCAAAGAGGCCGAATAGGTCGGCCAAGATTGACAGTGGGTGGCAGTGGGGATCGGAGTTGGATGTGGCTCCATACTGCAGGCCTGTGTGCCCAGCGCCCTCTCCGGGGGCTGCAGACTCACTGCTCTGCCGCCTGCGGTCCGTGCCTCCGACATAATCCTGACCGCCCTTGCCCTTCAGTCTCACCTCTGCCCTCCACTGTCCTTTCCCAACTCCACTCAGAGCCCCACCCCAGGCTGGTGCTCACATTAAGGTGGGTGACACCCCGGTCAATCTCTCGCCGGTGACGATTGGAAGTGGTGGGAGGCGCAGCGGGCGGCAGGCTGCGGTAGGAGATGGTGCCCGTGTGCCAGTTGGTCCAGTAGACGCGGCCAGCCTTGACATGCACATCCATGGCGTCGATGCGGACGCTCTCATCGCCCTGGAAGGCCTGCTCGTACGCTGAGTGGGGGTGACTGGGGAACAGGCTGCGGATCTCATTGTCGTCGGCGATGTACAGGACCTGGTACTCAGAGCCTGCAGGGGCAAGAGGCCAGATGTTGGGTGTGGGGAAGGCTGGGGCAGGAGGCCAGGCTGGGGGCTGGGGCTGTCGGCCCGGTTCGGGGAGGGGCATACCCAAGACGTGCGCCTCACCCAGGCTGGGGCAGGAGGCCAGGCTGGGGGCTGGGGCTGTCAGGCCCAGCCCCTTGCACACTGACGTCTTCGCTCCTAACCAGCCTCCTGGTCAGAAGCCGCGACTCATCCCAGCGCCCCCGTGCGGGCCTCGGCCCTCAGAATGTCCTTCCTCCTCTCCTCCTCGAGCTTATCCAGGCTGTCCCTGCTCCTCCAGCCCCAGGGCATCGGCTCCTCATGGCCCCTGGTGTCATCACCAGGCTACTCATCCCAGCGCCCCCGTGCGGGCCTCGGCCCTCAGAATGTCCTTCCTCCTCTCCTCCTCCAGCTTATCCAGGGGACCTGCCCCTCCGGAGGCTGTCCCTGCTCCTCCAGCCCCACGGGCGTCGGCTCCTCATGGCCCCTGGTGTCATCACCAGGCCCTCTGCTACACACTGTCTGGTGTGTGCTCGCGGATGCACACGCGTGTGGGCTTATGTGCACAGACACGGAGGGGGTAGGTACGCGTGCGCATGGGAGTGCACTTGGGTGTGTGGGCGTGCTTCCGCACAAGGACGCCGCGGTGTGTGTCTGAGCCAGTGGTTCTCAACCTTCCTGATGCTGCGACCCTTTAATACAGTTCCTCGTGTTGTGGTGACCCCCAATTTCATTGTTACAAATTGAACACAATTAAAGCATAGTGATTAATCACAAAAACAATATGTAATTATATATGTGTTTCCCGATGGTCTTAGGCGACCCCTGTGAAAGGGTCGTTCGACCGCCAAAGGGGTCGCGACCCACAGGTTGAGAACCGCTGGTCTAAGCCCATGTTCAAAAACAAGAAGGTAACTGTGAGCTGATGGATGTGTTAATTAACTCGGTGGGGGAATCCTTTCACGATTGTACGCGTATCAAATCATCACCTCGTACATTAAATATCTGACAACTTTCTCACCTATATCTCAATAAAGCGGCGAAAAGGAACGCAGGAAGGGAACACGCAGGCGGGGCACATGTGACTGCAATGTGTGTCCGCCTCCCCGGGAAGGGGCGGGCGGGGGCAGGTGTGGGACGTACGTGTGCTGCCCTCACCCAGCCCTCCTCGATGAGCCGGCTCACACCTTGCCCTGTGTGGCTCCCAGCACAGTGCACAGAAGCGGCGCCTGCAGCTCTGGGGCTCCCCCCTGGGCCGGGGTGTAAGGAGAGCACCCCTCCCAGGCCCACCACATACATGTCCTGGCCCTGCCAGCCCCGCCCGCGCCCTGCCCCTGCCCCCTCGGGCTCCGCACCTTCAGCCTTGCAGGTGTTGTGTGTCTTCATGAAGTTGCGGGCGCAGCTGCAGAGGTGGCCGCCCTTGGTGTTGTTGCAGAGCTGGGAGCAGGTGCCGAAGCGCAGACACTCGTTGATGTCTGGGGTGACACGGAGGGTCATGGAGAAACCCCATGTGACGGGGGTTTCTGCCTCTCCCCCCGCCCACCCCGTCCCACCTGCCTACCTTGGCATCCGGGCTGGCCTGGCACCGTGTGGAAGCCGGAGCGGCAGGCGCAGTAGGCGGCCTTCTCGGTGCGCACGCAGCGTGCCTCGTCCCCGCAGAGGCTGGCGTTGGTGGCACAGCTGGTCAGCTTGGGGTCTGTGGGGGACAGAGAGTGGGTCCTCTCCCCTGAGCCGCCCCGGGCCCGGGCTTTGGCTCTCTGGCCCCAGCTGCCCGCACGCCCCCCTCACCGATGCTGCAGTCCTCCTCGTCGGAGCCGTCCCCACAGTCGTCGAACATGTTGCAGCGCAGCGAGGAGGAGAGGCAGCGCTGGTTCCGGCACAGAAACTCCTTCTTGTCTTTGCAGTGGGCGGTCTGAGCCGTGGGGGGCTCTGCGGAGAGCGGGGCTTCAGGTCCTGGGCACTCACCACCCGGCCCTTCCTCCCAGGCCGTCATGGGTGAGGGTGGGACCCAAGCCTGGCCACTTGTCAAGCTTGCAGGAGAGGCTGGCTAGACATTGTCTCCACCTCCAGCCCTTGGGCATCAGGAAGCCGCCAGCGGGCCCCCCTCTACCCCTGGGACTTCTCCACCCCCAGGAAGGGCCCCCCACGCTCCCAGCCATGGAGCCTCCCCTTCCAAGGAGCCCATTCCCTGGACACTGCTCCCACTTGGCCCACCCCTGCTCCCCGTGCACCCCCCCAGGCCCCGCTCCTCCTCACTGCTCACCACAGTCCTCCTCATCAGTCCCGTCCCCGCAGTTGTCGGTGCCGTCACACTGGCGCCCGATCCACAAGCAGACGCGGTCGTTCTTGCAACGGAAGGGCCGGTTCGGGGGGCACATAAACCGGGCTGCGGGGGACAGAGCCGGCGTCAGCCCTGGGCGAGCTGCTGGGCCCTGGGAGCCGGGAGCCCCGCTCGCCCTCGCCCTCCGAGCCTCGCTCACCGCACTCCTCGGGGTTCTCGTCGGAGTTGTCCCCGCAGTCGTCCTCGCCGTCGCACTTCCACGCCAGGGGCTTGCACAGGGTGTTGTTGCACTGGAACTCGTCCAGCGGGCAGGTCCGCACTACAGGCCAGGGGGGCAAAGAGCCAACAGCGGCTGAGCCCAGGCAGCCGGGGCCCAGGGGCAGGACCCTGCCCAGACCCCTCCCTCCACCGTGGCGGCCAAGTCACAGGCAGGCAGTGGGACAGCCAGACGGACGCAGGTGTAGTTTCCTACCAGCCGGGCAGCTGGGCAGAGCTGCCTCCTCTGCTCTTTAGGGGAGAAAAGGCCTTTTGGGAAGAGTGACCAGAAGGGTCCAGAGAGCCCTGTCTGGTGGTGGCTGCAGGACACGGTCCCCTCCAGGCGAGGAGCACTGGGCTGGGAGTCGGGGTGCTGGGTTCCAGCCCGTCCTCAGCCCCCAGGGCAGAGCCAGGAAGCCTGCGCTCACTGGGGTCTCACCCGCTTCCCACGGCCCCTGTAGGCTGCGGGGGGGCAGGGAGGTACCCGCAGGTCAGCGGGGGCAGGCCCTGCCTCATTTCCCGGGGAAAGCAGTGTGAGCAGGGATGCTGCTTCTCAGGGCAACCGACTGCCTTCTGGGAACTTATGGGTGAGGCCGAGATGGACATAGCCCTCCGGTTTCCGCTGGATTTCAGCCCAACTGGCTCCTGGGCCAGGGCTGTTGTGGGTGGGGCGGGCAGGGCTCACCGCCAGTGCTGCAGGCTTCCTCGTCGCTGCCGTCCATGCAGTCGGCGTCCGCATCACAGCGCCAGCGCAGGGGGATGCAGTGCCCACTCTTGCACTGGAACTGGTCCATGTCACAGCGGGGCGTGCAGTCCTTCTGTGGGCCGGGGAGCGGGCATCCTGGTCAGACCTGGGTGCCCCGGCGGCCCTGCTCTGACTGCCCCCTTCTGGCTCCCCTGCCCACCTCGTCCGAGCCATCCGCACAGTCATGGTCCCCATCACATTTCCAGCGCCCAGCGATGCAGCGGCCGTTGGCACAGGAAAACTCACTCTCAGAGCAGGGCCGAGGGGCTGGGGAGGGACGAGACAGGCCCCAGGAGGTGGGCATAGGCACCCAGCCTCGAGGGCATCTCCAGCCCTTGGCAGAGTCATAGCACCCATCGGGCGTTCCTGAAGGCCCAGCTGACTGGCCTGATGACCAAAATGCTCACCCGATCCCGTGCAGCCACTGGCTGTCCTCAGGGGGCCAGCGGGGCACAGAGGGCACTCACTCACCCCTGGGGCACACACACAAGAGAGGACACGGGTCCCTGGCCCTGCCCTCCGGACACACTGTGTGTGGGGAAGGGAGGGGAGGGACGAGACCACTAAGACAAGCACCAGGGTTTGGGGAGCGGCCAGTAAAGGATGATGGGCTGAGGCACAGCACGGGGACGGGTGGGCTCTGGGCAGAGGCGGGGTGTGGTGGGAGCACAGCACAGCGGAGACACCTACCTCTGCAACCCCAAGAGGACAGTGTGAAAATGGAGAGAAACATGAGATGAGGTGAAATGGCACAAACTCAGATACACAGCATGGAGTGGGGTAGGGGGCGGGGGAGGGGCTCCTGACCCCCAGCCCCGGGGGCAGCTGCCCTGGAGC